AAATTGTGTGACTTCTATGATAAAGCAGAGCAGCAGAGAGAGCAGCGCAGAGTGCGGGCGGCATTACGCTGTATGCGTTATATTATCAGTGTATGTTTATCAGTTGTCTAGTACCCATAACACAAGCTCTGGTTAGCTTGGGACTAGATGGCGTTGTGTGATAGTTGTGGAATATTATTATTATTATATTATTATTATGGGCGTATCTGTATAGTTTCTCATCTGGTTGGTTTTTATAAATATAAATTAAAATGAAAAGATAAATATACATAAATATCAATAAAATAAAATAAATACAAAAAATATACAAATAAATAAAGATCCAACCATATTAAATAAAAAATAGTCTCCTATCTTTCTCTCTATGTTTTGATCTCCTAAAACGAGTTTGAGTTGGTAAAATCAAGGCAAACTTAGGGTAGGGTTGTCAATTATTATTTTGATAATAAAACTAGTGAAATTCCGCGGTTTTATATGCGCAAGCGTGAACGTAGTTTGAACATAATATAACCTTTATGTTTTACATAAATATCCTAAAAAACTTATTATTTTAATATTTTACTAAGTACCTATAAAATTAACAAGTTTATTGCATTTTTATTTGAGTAATTTTTTATGCAATTTCTTTATCTACGTCTATTTTTAGGAACCTTTATTTAGTCTGAATCATACATAACACTATATTACTGATTTACTTACTTATACGTAGTTTTCTTTTTTGCAGTTACAACTATCTTGTGAGGTTGAAAAAGGCAGTAATGAAAAAATAATAAGAATAATAATAATTGACGTCAGCCACTTCTTTTCACAAAAATTTCAGATCATGGTCCATTAGGTTGCAGCTTCAGCGAACCACAACTTATAATAATAATAATAACAGTAATAATATAATATTATTTTGTATTTATTTTATTTTATTGATATTTATGTATATTTATCTTTTCATTTTAATTTATAATTTTTATATATTTAAATATTTATATAACCGAACCAGATGAGAAAATTATACGGCTCCAACGATTTTAGCGACGAACGCTTGGATTTATTTTTAGAAAATGTCCTTTTGTCCATGTTTTCAGGCAATAAAAAAAACTGCTACAATATAAGAAGGTAAATTTCGACAAATCACTAACGGTCGTTATAGCTCAGGTGGTATGTCGGTCGGGCGTGATATCGGAGTTCCGTGGTTCGCGTCTTGGCTTTGGTCCCGCTTTTTTTCCTTTTTTTTTTCAAGTTCTCTTCTTTTGTGATAAAATCTATTATTTCAAACCCTTTTTTTAGTAATTTTTAAAAATACGAAAATTTTAATTTTAAAAATTTAAAAAAAAAATATCTATTTAGTTACTAATGCTATATTTATTATTTTAATAATTACCTACCCAGTAGGTAAATATTAAAATAATAAATGTAGCATTATAAACAGTAAATCTCCCTCAAACTCAATTTACTAATATTGTTCCTAAATAAGGAATAGCAGATAAAAGATTAGTAGGTAATAACTATTGCTCCTCAAAATTATATTTGACCTCAAGGGAAAACATATCCTAAAATTCAGTAGCTAAATAAAATAATAATACCTACTATTCAAGTATATTTTCAATATGTAAGTAAATGAAAATAACAAAAATGAAGCACCATTAGCATGTAAAGTTCGAATCCACAATTAATATTTCGACAAATATTATAATTTACACTATAAAAAGCTAATTCAATATTAGCAGTATAGTATATAGTTAAAAATAATCAAAATAGTCTTTTTTATTAATTAGATAATATATTAGAATACATAATTCTAATATAATGCAACTAATATATCGAATAAAGAAAATTAAAATACATTTATCATTGTACGCCGTGTCTATTTCCATAGAATAGTTCATTGACATCGAAAAAATAATACTACGTTCGTAGCAGTAGGTGGCGTCTTTTGGCGATTTCTTACGCGATATATTGTAGCGAGCTTCGACAGACCAAACGCTCAAGGTCGTTCGCTGGAGGTAGCGCCTTAAGTTGATTGTAATATAGACGTCGAAGATATCGAGTTGAATGCTAAAGCTACAGTAGAAAATACAACATCGACACAGCCTGATGACTGTCCTTATACAACAAGAAACAGGCCGTTTGATGTTGTAGATCGACTGGTGAGATGCGTTTCTGAAACTAGAAGAAACATAACTATAGATAATTTGTTTATAAATAAAAACCACAAATTGACTGCCGTTGGTGCACTAAGGTCAAATAAAACGTGTATTCCACTTCAGTTCAAGGCTAGACGTGAAGAAAATTGATCGGTGTTCGGATTTCAAAAAGATATAACTATTGTAACTTATGTACCAAAGCCAAAGAAATATGTACACATGATGTCTTCTTTACATCAAGATGATGAAGTGGAGCTAGATAGTGGAAACAAAAGAAAACCATCTATTATAACGTTCTAGAACTCAACAAAGAGTGGAGTTGATTTTGTCGATAAACTTGCAAGAACATACTATATATCCCGCAATTCTTAACGTTGCGTTGGCCTCTTACCATATTTCTTTAATGTTAAACCATGCTGGTATAAATGGCTTTGTTGTGCATATGCCCAATAACAACATGAAAAGGATTAGGCGTAAATTTATCAAAAAATTAGGAATCTCTTTGCTTGAGGACCATCTTAGGAAAAGAAAAGATAACCCACATGTACCACGCGATATAATAAAATGCGTGCATGGAATTCTGAATGAAGAAGTTCCAAGAACATCAGCAAAACAGCCAAGAAAGCCTCTGAGAAGTTCTTTTTGTCCTAGATACGAGGACAGGAAGACCCTTAATCGCCGTTTCAAATGTGAAGCTGCTATATGCAAAGAGCATGTAAATCTAATATGCCAAAATTGTACTGATTTACTCAAATAACCTACTGTGATTGTAATAATTAGTTATAATATATATTAAGACAGTTCTCTTGATTTAACTAATAAGTACAATAATAACGTTATTGTTTCAAAAATATTTTTTTTGTAGCAACTCATTGGAAATTCGTTGATAATATAGAGAAGTTTTCCGATTGTGATTTTTTCTTAATTAATGTCTATTTTTATACATTTTTGTATATTATTTATTCACTTATTATCATTAATAACTAAAAAACGAACATAAACTTATTAAACTTCATTCACACACAAACTAGAGACAAAGTCTTATGGGGTTATTTTAGCCCAACATGGTGTACAGGTGAGGAGTATTTTTCAACTTGTACGCCAAACGTTATTAAATAAAGTGTCATTCAACATAAAAATATACTCCGTAAACTGGAGCGTAAGTGTAAACATAAACTTAGAAAAAATTTAATTATACAATAAAAAGGGGCTTTCTTACCAATAATATTAGGTGCAATATTGAGTGGATTAGTAAGTGGACTAGCCAGTTAACATGGAAAAGGCGAAGAAAATGATACTTATCGAACTTGGATTGATTGAAAAATTAAAGCAAGAAAATAAAGTTAATAGTACTTTGTTTAGATTATGTATTGAAATGAAAAATATTATGAATAGTAAGACTGAATACCGAAAGAAGTGTGTTATGACTCCTTTACTAAGAGTCATTTCATTAGATCCTACAAAATACATTTATGGTGCCAATAAAATGCACGTTTTCTCTTCACTTCACTACTTACCTGGAAATGCGAAGAGTGTTTGATACACTGGAAATAGTTATAAGGGTACGACTTTCCATTGACGTCCATCGAATTGAGGGGGGAGGGGAGGGGATGGAGGGGGGGGAGGTTTAATACCCCCCCCTTAAAAGGAAAAGTTGCGGAGCCCCCCCCTTTTCGAGTTTTTTTCATTTTTAATTCTGAGAAAATTTTCCTCATTTTATGGATTAATATTAAGTGTAAAAAACCAGGACTCCTCCTTGGGGGAGTCCTGGTCTCTCCATCCTCGCCTTCGCAGCTTCGGCTTGTTGGTCGCCTTCGGCGACCAGCCTCAGCCGCTACGGCTCGTCCGATGCCTACGATTTGTTACAGCAGGCGGAGGCTGCTCTCCCTACGCGCCTCCGGCTCTATAATAACACTCTAGGGGTAGGACAGACTTGTACCAAGTGGAGTCGGGGTCAGCCAATTCGGTTCTTCGACATAAGTTAAACCTAACCTATTTTATTTACTTACTTTTAAAATAAATCAAATAAAATTCATAATTTATTAATCAATTTTATATACATATTGTATTGCTTTAATTAATTCTATGAAAACATCTTTATGTGCTATTTTTATTTTTCTTCGCCAAGTATATTCAATTAGCCAGTCTGTAAAGTTTGTTTTATAACCTTCTCTACCGAACATCACTTTTAAATTTCGCCAGTGGCTTTCTATTCGTTGTGTGTGTGTCCCATCTGGTGCCACAAATTTATTTATAGGGTCGCTGTGATTAACTTTTTTATGTATATATCCATATTGAGGTAGGCAATCGTAGGCTCTCCAAAAATCGGTATGGATTTCAGTGCCTACCTCCACATGCTTTTGTATTAGTGGCACCAACATTTCCGCAGATCTATCATTATCGGGACACACTTCTAATCTCAAATCATCTTTCCCATTTTCTATCATTCCCAGCACCCAATGGCCTTCAATGTGTCTCCCTCTGTTGTACTTGCGTTTTCCAAATTTTGATTCGTCTATTTGCACGATTTTGCCTGGACCACCAATCTTGCCATTAACTTCTTGGTGCTCCAATTCATAAACTACTACTGTCTCTCGGCAGTAAGAAAACCAGTCAGTTATTGTCCTTGTTGATAAAATTGTTTCTTTATCTTCACGGGCTGTCTCTAATTTAACTTGATGATAACTATATTTTTGGCTGAACATATACATCAGTAAAAATTGTAACTCAATGGACAGCCGCGCATTCTCGAACCATGTTCCCGCTGCCCGACTCACTGCCTTAGAGCGACAATTACTCTTCCTGCATCGAAATATGCCAAGCTGACCAGTCTTACTGCTGGAGCTTAACGCCATAGGTCTCCTATGATATGAGCCTATGCTCTTCAGCAAATGCAATGCACTGAGCTGGGGTGTTGAGCCGGGTTATGATTTTATACATGTTCCAATGGCACCTAAAACAAACAAAAATATTCCTATTAGAAATCTAATTACTGTTTTACTCGTCAGCTTTTTCTGTGAAGTTTACATATGTGCTATATAAGAAACCACGGGTAAGGTTTACAATTCGGTCTCCTGAATTAGGGGGTGGGGGGTGGTGTGGGGGGAGGGAGAAGAGTTGTAGAGTCACCCCCTACATCCCCTTCCTGCCGGACGTGCTTAGTTTTTTTTTATAAATTTTTAAAAATCTCATTTTGAGGTTATGTTTCGTAATTTTTATGACAATTTAACCTGATTTATGGGGAGAGAGAGTTGGGGGACGGAAGCCCCACGCCACTTAACGAGGTGCAGTAGAGGGAAGCCCAGTCGACGGAGCCCCGCTTCGCGGGGCTCCTGCTTCTGAGTGGTTTACAAAAAAATAACCACGAAGGAGATGACGGGGTCTATTCGCTCGCTTCGCTCGCTCACTCGACCCCGTCATCTCCTTCTAACCTAACCTGTCCGAGTCGGGGTGCCCCACGTCCTAGGCTCGCTTCGCTCGCTATTGCACCCAATATAACACCAAAATATTAACTTTTATAACTACTTTAATTTATAAACATAATTTATGGCTGCCACTATTTGTAAGAAAGGATCTTTGCGATATTTAGCAGTGAACCAACCTTATTTCCTCGGCATAGTAGTGGACTCTTCGGCCAGACGAACCAGGAGCTTGAGGTTCCGCATCAGCCACGCTGCTCTCAGACGACGTTGGAGACGCAGGCGGCAGTACCGACACGGTACTGGGAACAGTGGCGCGGGAACTACCAGCTATTGATTTCGATAGCACAGTCATGTTAAAACGAAAGGTTGATGACAAATTTGAACAATTTGACATGACGGGATCTGGGTATACAAATAAAAGAAAACTATTGGCCTCGTTCATTCCACCATTAACTGCTAAAGTGAAAGCTGCGAAAAAACTGCGTCTAAAACCAAAAAATATCAAAGATATATTTTCAAATTAAATATGTCTTTCCTTTATAATCATTCTTGTGAGTGCGTTAAGTCATAATTGCATAATGTAATACCGCTTATACAAACAAGCATTGAAAATGGATTGTGGATTCACTATAAACCAATTTCGTCTCTTGCTGATGATGGACTTATCGAATGCAAGTTCCTGGGACAGACGATGACTACATAGATTTGTCTCACATAAAGACAAAAGTATTAAATCAAGATTCAACTGACTTGAGGTCGTCTACAGTAGGAGCACCTGTAAATAATTGGCTGCATTCGCTTTTTAGTCGTCTTGATGTTTATTTAAACCAAAAACTTGTATCACCACCTAATAATACCTTTGCATGTCGAGCATACATGGAAAACCTTTTAAACTATGCTCCTGCTGCTAAACAATCTCATCTTACTTGTAGTTTTTGGTATGAGGATACAGCAGGAAAAATAGATTCTACAGACGGTAAAAACATAGGATTTGTTAAAAGACAGGAATTGGTTAGTGAAAGTAAGGAAATAGAAATGATTGGACATCTTTACGGTGACATTTTCAATCAAAAAAATTGTTTAATTAATGGTGTTGAAATGAGTGTAAAATTAGTTCGATCAGGAGAGAGTTTTAATTTAATTGCTGGGTCAAACGATGTAAAGTTTAAAGTTTGCATTACGGGCGCAACTCTTATTATCCGATGAGCAAGAATTAATCAAAGTGTATTACTCGCACATTAAAAAGTTTTAGCTTCTACAACTGCTAAATACTCGTATCCTATTACTCGAGTTGAAGTAAAAGTTTTAACGATTCCATCAGGTATTCAAGGAAAAACTCCTCATAATATATTCTTAGGACAGGTACCCAAAAGATGTATAATTGGGTTTGTGAACAGTTCTGCATTTAATGGTTCCCTTACAAAAAATCAATTTAACTTTAAAAACTATATGTATATATATATATATATATATATATATATATATATGTGTGTGTATTTGTATTAACCCTTCAAAAGCTTTGCAACCATCTTTTAATAATAATATATTTATGTCAGCATATCATACTCTATTCTCGGGAACTAGTATTCACTTCCTTAATGAAGGAAATGGAATCTCTTGTGAACAGTATGCCATAGGTTACTGTCTATTAGCATTTGACTTAACTCCTGACTTATCAGTTAACTCATCAACTCATTGGAATCTCATAAAGCATGGTAGTGTAAGCTTAGAAGTACGGTTTGAATCCTCACTAATACAAACAATTAACTGTATAGTTTATGCTGAATTTGATAATATTATTGAAATAAATAAAAACAGAAATGTTACTGTAGACTATAGTAGTTAAGATTACAATGTGTGTTGTGTGTTAGATTTATGTGCAATGCGTAATGCATTTTATGTGTATGTAACTATGTGAAACATCATAAAATTAAATTAAACACATCGTATACAATATATTATTTTTTATTTCTTTATAAACCCCCTCTTTAATCTTATACAAAACACTGTTCGAGTTTCCGCAGTGAAACTGATAGTAACTTTATGATTCAACTACTTATTTCGCATTCTTTCGTGTTGCGACTAGCCCTACACCGATGACTCATACAAATCATCACAAAGGAATACGATTTAATGTTTACAAATCACTATAATACATCATTCCTATGTTAACCATTGAATAGATTGGTAATGTAAAAAACTATTAGCAGTAATATCATGGATACACTAGATGTACAACAGTGGCGAAGCCTCCATAGAAGCCGAAAAGCCGGGATTGCCCTATTTAAGAGCTCAATCAATAATATCAACTAATAAAATGACTCGTAAACTGTTTCAAACTATTTCAAATTTTCCGCGCGCTCGTAGCCTTAGCGGATGTTCATGGGCGGCGGAAGTCACTTAACATCAGGTGAACCGTATGCTCGTTGTCCCCCTCTTCTATAAAAATGCGTTATTTACATAATATTCATTATTAAACTTGATATAGTCTTGATAAAATAAGGTTTAATTTCATGGTCTTTATTAATATTGGTCACATTGAACATTGGTTAGCACACATGTCATTTTTTACGTTCGAGTAGACTTCAAAATTTCATAAATGTAGTTCTATTCACGGAGAACGTGTGAGAAGAACTAAATCCATGAACAGGATTAGAAATCTACATAAGATGAGCAGCAGCGTCTTCCTGATCATAGCTCAAAATACAAAAAATATGCATTTGGCAACTCGTGTGCCAAGCCTAGCTACTATGGCAAATATCCGACTTTATTAACTTTTGTAAATCCGATTGATGAACGGGAGTATAAATAATATATTAGTGGGTGGCTTAAGAGGTGACAGAGGGAAATTGAAACAGGAGATGGGTAGCATCTTCTTGATAACAGCGTAACAAAGTAATAAAGAGCTGCGGTTGCTAACCCGCTTTCCAAGCGTGAATACTATTGCAAATACCCGGAATATTTGTCATACAATGGGGGAAGCCTAAGATCAGCCGTGGAAAGCCCTAGTAAAAAAGTAGGAGCCTAAATACATCCCACTACTGGGCACAGGCCACAGCGAGTTTTGGTCAAAAAGGAGTTGGTTAAGTTGAATCCAACGCTGGATGACTGAAACATACCTATACCCAAAAATGATTTCCGAAATCATTTTTTAACATCTCAGATATGCAGATTTCCTGCGATGTTTTTCTTCACCATCGATAACGTGGTAAATCGAAACTTCAAACCGCAGTTAAAATATGAGAGGATTCAACGCGGATCTAATTTAAGTAGCTTACGTACCAACTAAGAAATTTACGTTTAGATCGGTTTAATTACAGGATTATACAGATGACTTTCAAGATTCTATCAGTGCAGTTCTACTCATAGTTAAAATAAAAAAAAACTCGTGTTTAAAATTCGCTTTCTATGATATTTATAGTACTTTTTCATAAGAACCTGTTTACTCATGTGAGCTATGTAACCGGAACTGTCACAAAAATTATGTATTTTATTATAAATATTTAATAGAATTGTGTTTAATTTGATCAGTTGTGTATTTATTATTAGTTTATTTATCAGTAAACAGATGGCGCTATTATTATATTAGAACTATGACAACCGAAACTTTACCCTCTAGTAATCAGACTCAAGTTGAGGTGTGACTGAAGTGGCTCTATGGCACAAAAAAAGACGTTAACATTTATATAATACATACATTTGGCATAAATTCTGCTTTTATCAAATATACGCAATCAGCGACGCTAGCGGTGTGTAATGAAATTATTTTACGATTTAAGGTGAAACCTACGGACTGCTCCCAGCCATTCTCCTGCAAGATGGCGTTGAAGTCAACATTTTTAGTTTATTTGGGTTTTTGTGTAATTGGAAAATTATTAAGTCGTAGAAGTAGACTTTTCGGTTATCGGATATTACATTTTATTGGAATGGGTCATATCGTTGCCTCAAAATCCACCCAATTCGACACAAAGCTTGATTATAACATCTGCCATTGAATATAGTGTCGTTTACACACACAGACGTATCCCTACGTTTACGAAGCTTGAACACTAGATGGCGTGTATGTAAAAAACAAGTTTTTAATTTTTCTGTATGTGTAGATTGGGGGTATATAAATAGACGGCCCCCAGTCCCCGGCGGCCCCGCTATTCCTGGCTACGGTGGCGACCATGGTAACGGCGGGGCTGGAGGTGCTAAGAATCTCCGGTGGAGGTTCGGTTGCCACCTACGACGACTCGACCTGGCAACATTTAACGCACGCACCCTGAGGACTAAATCATGGAGCTGGACAAGTTGCGCTGGAATATTATAGGATTATCCGAGGTCCGAAGAGAGGGGGAGGACACGGTGATTCTCGAATCCGGCAACTTGTTCTATCACCGGGAGGGCGACCATCTGTCCCAAGGAGAGTATAAGGAAGTGTCGGATTTATCGTCCACAAGTCTCTCGTCAACAACGTTGTAAAGATTGGGAGTGTGTCGACAAGGGTCGCGTACCTGATACTCAGAATCACCAAACGGTATTCGCCGAAGGTCATACACGTTTTCGCACAAACTTCGGCAAATCCTGATGTGGAGATGGGGAAAATGTATGAGGATATTTCCAAAGCCATGCATTGCTCCAAAACCTACTACACGGCGTTGATGGGAGACTTCAACGCAAAACTAGGCACAAGAGAAAACGCTGAGCTGAAGTTAGTGAAATTTGGAGTAGGGCAACGGAACTGAAGAGGCAAGCAGCTGGCCGACTTTATGGAGAAAGAGGGACTCTTTATGATGAACTCTTTCTTCCAGAAGCGGCCCCACAGGAAGTGGACCTGGTCGAGTCCCGACGGTTCGACAAAAAATGAGATTGACTTCATTATGACGACCAGACGCCAACTGTTCAGTGATGTCTCAGTGATCGCAAGGGTGAAAACTGGCAGCGATCACCGAATGGTTAGAGGCACACTGAACCTAAACGTTAAGTTGAAGAGGTCTCGTCTAATGAAGTCAACGCTCCGTCCCCCTCGTGCTCTAATCCAGAATCCCGAAAACTTTCAGCTCGAGTTACGTAACCGCTTTCAGTGCCTACAAGATTGCAATGCAGTGGACGATATGAATGACAAGCTCGTGGAAACTGTCCCTGCGGTCGGAGCTAAGTTCTGCAAGACCCGCCGCAGAAGAACACAAAAACTCTCCGATCATACTCTTAATCTCATGGCTGTTAGACGGGAGATGAGGCTGCAATCGTCAACAGATTTGACAGCATACAGGCAACTGAACAGACAGATCCCCAAATGCTTGCGCCGAGACTTACGCAACTTTAATACTGCTCGTATTATAGAAGCGATAGAGCGGAACCAGGGCTCCA